AGAGAGAGAGAGAGAGAGAGAGAGAGAGAGAGAGAGAGAGAGAGAGAGAGAAGTTGCTCTAAATCGCCGTACGAAACCTATGAAGTTGTGGCCTAACCGGCTCCAGGGCTAACCATAATATTTTGTTATCTGGCGTCACTACGCCAATATGAAGACTGTTAATTACGACAGATAGTATATGATAATATTATGTGTTTTTATAATCTGATTACAGTGTTTGATACTGTGGCAACTTTTAAGTTACCTTCTGAATTCTGTTGCAGACTACAAACGCGCCAAAAACTTAGCTGAGATGATGGGTCTGAAACTGGACTACGCCACGTACATGAAAATCCGAGACAGTCATGATCTTGAGGCTGGTGGGGGCTTTAACCCTATGGGGATGTAGGACGTCTGGCCGGGGTCGAAGATGGACCAAAGTGATCATGATCATGACTTGTGTATATTATGTCTTTAAAAAAAATCGTATTTGTGGGGATTCTTAAATAAAATTCAAAGATTATCTTGTTTTGTTTGTTCATTTCTATTTCTAAAAAGAAACTCTTGTCGGTTGTGATTTGTGTCTCAATACACTTTTGGTAATTCTTGTGGTTACAGAGGGGATTCACACATACACTTTCCTCTACTTATAGTGCGGTCAAAAATTTGTGGTGCAGCTTATTCCTCAAATATCTCTTTAACGGGTGAATCAATGTCATTCATACTTTGCATAGCAGTTTGTATCAATTTGTCTTAACTAAATCATATTTTTCCAGAACAATTAGGGCTAGATTAAAAAAACTTTTCTTCATAAATTTATATAAAATACTTGAAACCTCTGTCACACGTGAAATGGTATAGGCTAGTTCACAGCTTTTCCCGCTTCTCACACACATTTTGATTACGCATATGGCCTACGTCACAGCTCTTTACGACAATATTTACTTGCAAAACTTGTTACAAGAAATTATTTTTATAGTGAACACATTTTTTGCACTAATGGCTCTCAAAACATGCGTTCAATAAGCATAATGTCCGGATTAGAAAAACATGACGGACTTGCTAAAGCAATATTGCCCCAGCTGTAAACATTTGAAATCTGTTGAAACCACCCACCTGGATTTTTTATTAGTATTTATTAAGGAATTTTCTAGAATGCAGCTTGCAGGTGTTTACAAAAATGTTGATCTGTTAAGACAAATTGATACAAGTCACTGTGTAAAAATTGGAGAACCTAGATCTATGTTTGACAGTTGATGAGATATTGACAATAAGTCGCACCACGAAGTTTTGACCGCACTATAGCAGTTATGCACTATCATTGACTATAGTCTAGATCTAGTAGTAGTACAATCAAAGAGTCTGTAGTTAGCAATGCACCTATATGTGGTGTGGTGTGGTGTGGTGTGGTGTGGTGTGGTGTGGTGTGGTGTGGTGTGGTGTGGTGTGGTGTGATGTGGTGTGGTGTGGTGTGGTGTGGTGCGCTGTGGGGCAGTGTGGGCGACGCGGTGCGGTGCGGTGCGGTGCGGTGCGGTGCGGTGCGGTGCGATGCTGTGCCGTGCGGTCTGATGGGGTGTGGTGAGGTGTGGTGTGTAAAATAAGATATATCGCATGGTGTGGTAAATGGTATGATTGATTGATATGGTATGGTAAGATAATATTATATAATACGATGAGGTATGGTGCAATTGGGTATGGTGTGTTAATAATTTACGGCAAATTTTGGTGTGATGGGATATGGTGTGGTATTTTATCGTAAAATCGGGTGCCTGTTGCGGATGGAATCGGGTCGGATCGGGTCGATCGCCCGACTTGTCACCTGAAAACAAACGCGTTTGTTTTTGAGGCAACGCGAGTGGGACGATCAGTTTGTGCCACGATAGCCTCTTTGCGCCCTCAATCTGGCGAGCAAACCGACCAGACCCGAACGTGCCAATGGGCACCAGGTATAAAACAAATTGTGATGGGGGTATGGTGGGTATTTTGCAGAGAGATTAAGAAGTTAAGGAAGGGCATGGTGTTATGGTAAGGATTTACCACCCTTTTCGACACTTTACTGAGTACTGCGGTAAAAGAGGACAGAAAAAGTAAAGTAATAAGTATTGAACAGGTCGGGTTTTACATCTCTAACTGGACAGAGCTCTGTAGATAAACAAAAACTGGAAACTTTGTAAACAACAAAAGTTATCGCATGCGCCATTGTGTTTTCGAACAATTAGGACTGTTTGCATCGCAGACGCAATTCAACTGCTTCATAGCCGACTTAACAAGAGACAACAGGACGTGGCTAGCTTATTTTCTTTAGCGTCACATCTTATATCTTTCTCGTTCGTTTTTGCTTAAATGACGTTTTACTAGTTTTAGATATCAGTTTAGTTGAAGTAGAAGGTTTACCGCGCCAGGGAGGCATGCAGCAAAGTCCCGCTCGCCCGATTGAGCACGGTCGAAGATACTGGAATTATTTTTTTTTATGCCTTGACCATGGTCTACCAAAGATTCTCTACTTAGAGAATATTTAGCTCTACTGCGATCTAGCCGTACTAACCTATCGACGGTAAGGACAGCGCGCCGGTTGTGTACAGTTGCGGCGTTGAGGTACGATTGCTTCATTTTGCGGTGTCTTTACAAAAAAAATAGATAAATAAACAAATAAATAAATACATAAATGAATAAATAAATAAATAAATAAATAAATAAATGAAATTAAAAATTGCGGTCGTTGAGGTTATGATTGTCAACACAAATGACTAGACCGGACTAATACCCCCCCCCCCCCCCCTCCCCGTTAAATTACAACCACCGAAAACATTTTTTTGGTGGTATATATGACCAAAGACAGTTCCAAGTCTGTATGTTTACCGAAACCACAAACATCGCGGTACAGACCTTTAACTAAACCAGCTGCCAGACCAGACATCAAGGGGTAAACCGTCAACTAAACCAGAAACTTCTTGACAGACCTTCAACTAAACCGGCACCAATTTACTTTTGTCTCTGTCGGAGTGTATGATGCGGATATTGGAGGGCGCCAGTGGTAGGTGTTTTATTCCTGTCCATCTGTTGTCGTTGTTATCTTTGCTGGCACTAAATTAATCGTTTTCACGTCGACGTGCCTTTCTTTACTCAAACTCAAACTCTGTTTGAGCTCAGCTTCAACATTATAGCCTACTACTTTTCTATTAGTCACGTAACTTCGTGCTGATTGCTGATTGCTGATGGTCCAAAGTCCTGGTGACAGGCGTGTGTATTTAGGCTAGTGTTCTTGTAACCGTCAACCGGGAAAAAAAAAAGAAACTATCACAAAAAAAAGAAATCGGACCACATTCAAATTCAGACTTAAGATGCTTCGTGTTAGTATTTGGAACAAACTGCGCTGAAGTAGTGGTGTTAAAGAAATGCAGCTCTATATCCCGTAGATCTTCTCCGAGTAAGCTTTATAAGGAAAGGTAGGCCTACCAGAGCTGCTCTTGCATCAGTCTAGACTGACACAGTAAACATATTTCTGCTACACCGTAGGACGTTTGTGCCATTCTGGCATGGAAGGAAAATAACAAGTACCTGGCAATAGAACCGCGAGCCTTCGAAAAATAAATAGCCTTGCCTAACAAGACAAATATAACAATCAACGCACTACAACACACTCCATGAAAGGAACCGGCCGCAAATCATCATGTAGGCTTTGTAGAAATTTGATTATATTTTATACTAGTGCCTTTCTAAAATAGATCTAGATCTAGATTAGATCTAGACTCTAGATATATTTGGTAAATTTTTACTATGCCCCCACACACAGATGCATTGATTTGTTTTGAGGGGAGGACTTCCGTAACGAGCGACACTACTATGAGACAGAGCAGAATTGAGGGCTTGGGGTAGGGGTAGGGATAGGGGTAAGGGTAGGGGTAGGGTTAGGTCTAGGCCTCTTCTTTATTGTGTTTGATGGGGTGGTCGCTCGTTACGGAAGTCCTTCCGATTTGAGGGCTAAACTAAACTGCCATAATTTTGAAAGTGGCTATTCTCACCCGCCCGGAAGTTCTCGCAAGATCTACTCCTCCCCTCTTCTCTCTCTCTCTCTGTCTCTTTCTGAATACTGTCTATCGGTGTGGACGATCAAATTGACCAAAACAAAGTTAAAAAATGATGTTAAAACACAAAAGTAAATTAATTTGGTTGTCTACAAAGATGCTACGGCTATTTAACTTTTCGAATCGAGCCGAACTACGTGGGTCGCCATTTTGTTTTGTTCTCTCTCTCACTCTCTCTCTCTCCACTGCCCACAGACAAAATTGTACGCTTTTAGTAGGCTACAAGTACAGTTGTAATGGAACGTTTGTTCACAGCACAGAATTCTACAATTTTTCTCTTATCACAGTGTAAAATTCTGTGGTTTAGGGTGAACGCAAAATTTGTTGACACGCGCACCGGGTGAGAATAGCCACAAGACCCGCCTGCACTATTCTCACCCCGGGTGAGAATAGAGGTGGCCATAATTTTTGCTGTAGAACACTGTACTGTACGCATTCGTATGGCCACAAGAACCCTTGCAAATCAATATTGAATAGACGAGATCTAGATCTAGATCTAGATCTAGAAATCTATATCTAGATCTAGATCTTTATTGTTTTCAAGTTTAGTAGAGAATCTAGATTCTAGATCAAGATCTAGATCTAGCCTATATAGATATCAATCCTAATTGCCAAAACATCAAATCATTATGAAGTACAGCAGGGGGATGCCCCCCTGAAACCCTCCAGGAGATTCTTTTTAAATGGAAGTGGATATTTATACGGCAGGCAGTCGAAAAATCGGAAGTGATAATTCCACGGCACATAAATTCAGCCAATCAGAACATCCGGACTATAATTAAGAATCTCTTCCATACACATTATTATAGAGAGAAGATACCTGTACTGTATGTTTACTTTTAACAATGTTTATCCTTTGCTATCATTTTGAGCATTATGGACAATGATGAAATGTTTTGTGTGATTGTAACGAGAGTGAGAGATGCACAATTTATTTTGTGCAAGCAAAATGGAGAGAAGACTGGGTTTTTTTTTCAACAGTAGGGAGCCCATTTGCGGATGGGATCGGGTCGGGTAGGTATGATCACCCGACTCGTCGCATGGAAAACAAACATAATTCTTGCATTGATACACTTCAAGCAGAGCCTATGCCGTCGAAATATTAATTCCGATCTTTAGACTCAAGACGGCATGTATAGGTATCACTTCCGATGTTCAGACAGCATGCAGTGGAAATATCAACTACGATTTTCAGACGGCATGCCGTCGAAATATCGCTACCCTTTTTAGATCAGCTTCGTTTTAGGTCCCCCTGAAACACCCATATTGTTAAAATCAAGTAAAATATTACTGTACTATTTTTCAAACATCAATAAATTATAACTCAATAACTTGATCTAGATTTTCTAGAGTCATAGTCAAAGCATAAAATTAAAAACTGATGATATCGGTCGTCATTGTGAAAGTGAAAGTAACTTGAACTTGAAGTTTGATGGTAGTAGATCTAGATCGAGTAGTCTAAAACGACACTTAAAGTGTAAGCTAAGCAGCTGTAGTAGTAGTTGCCTACAGGAGGATTACAGTTACAGAGCGGAGGAATTCCATATAACGAGCCAGCACAGACTACTAACTAGTTCTTTCTATGAAATAGGTAAAAAATAAAAGTATCATCTGAGGGTAAATTTATGTGTCATGATGTGGTGGAATCATGCGCTCGTCAATTTTTGGGCATGTGGACTTAAATCATCTTAAAACTTGTTCAATTTTCTATCATTTTCATTTGATGAAAAAAAATACTCATCTTCTTAAGCAGAAGTCGAGATATTAGCGATTGAACGTTCCAGAGGCAAAGTTGTCGAGAAAATGTCTGCCGGAGCTGGGTGATTTTCATTTCTTCAGAGTCCTTGGAAACTGAAAATTTATGCTTTTTGTGCCTTAAATCAACATTTTTCAGCAAAATCTAGGCCTAAATGGACATATTTAAATTGAAAGATGTTTCAAGAGTTCAGCCAAAAACCAGACATTTCAATAAAAATTGCCAAACAGGCGGAAAAATGATGATACAGTGGAGTCCACTTATAACGAGTCCGGGAAAAACGAAAAGTCTGTCATAAAGACACTATTCTAAAACCCCGTTTTTTTCTCTTCTTTACCTTTGTAAATAAAATACTGCTATTGCGCTATCAGACAACCATGCGAGTCGGTTATAGCGGAATAATGTTGCTGCTGTGCGCAGTGCATAGGCCAATTATACATAAAATGTAAATCCTCGCTAGTTGAGAAACGTGATCTGGCGAAACAAAGAATGGGAGAGCCCATGTGTGTCAACAATGAAGGCAGGAGCGACTGAGTAGGGAGGGTGTGGCATGCGCAGACAAGCAGAACGCATCGCGTGATAGGCCAGCGTAAGCCTAGTTTAGATTATTAAGGCCTACCATGCCTCTCTCTTCTCCGATGTGGGGATGGAGAGGTCACAGTGCTGTTACGGATGGAGCGAATGTGAGACGTGCGCAAGCTGACAGAATGCACCACAGGGTGTGTAGGGGTGGGAGAAAACTCAGCGGGCGAGTTAGCCTTGAGCCTTTTCTTTCTGATCGCCAACGCCGAGCTGTCAGTCAACATCTTTAGTGCTAGAGAAAGAAACCTGATTCGATTTTTGATCAAATAAGACCTAGAGGTCTTGTTGGGCAAAATCATCCTCAGCGGAGATAGCAAAAAGAACTAAACAGCAAACTCATAGATTAGGCCTACTTTATTATTTCCCTTGAATTTATTACTGGATCTCTTATAGCGAAAATCCTGCTATATCGGACATTTTGCACCGGCACCCTCCCTCTCGTTATAACAGGATTCCACTGTATAATCTTTGATTTTCATTATTTTGACGAGCACCTGCCCATGATGCTTCACAATTTATGGTTAGGGTCAAAGCTAGGGTTAGGGTTTGGGGGGTGGTTAATAAGGCCAGGGTTAAGTTTAGGTCCCTTCTTTATTGTTGAGGTGGTCGCTCGTTATGGAATCTTTCCGTACAGAGTACGCCTTACGATATTAATTAGGCTACTCAGTCAAAAATAACTTAGTAAGGTCTAGAATCTCTCTAGATTTACCACCTTGGTCTAGTCTTGGACATCTAAATCAAAGACTCTAGAAAAATATGTATATATGTGAGGCAGCGTGGTGGAATCAGGCTCTTGTCAATTTTTGGGCATGTAGGGTTATTGGTGTCATCTTAAAGCTTGTTCACTTGTCTTTATTTCCATGAAAAAAATATCCAATCTTGAACACAAGTTGAAATATTTGATAATGAAAGAAATGGGGTCACCTGTTTTCATATAGGTAAAATTAGTGGGAAAATGGCCACCAAAGATTAGTTATTTCCTTAGCTTAAGAGTCCGTGGTAACTGAAAATTTACATTTTTTGTGCCTTTAATCAATGTTTTTAAGAAAAATCCACACAGAAATGAGTTCTTTAATGGGCATGAAAGGTGTTGAGCCAAACACAAAAAATTGATAAAAACTCACAAACTTGCGGAAAAATGAAAGTTTCTTCACTTTGATTATTTTGACGAGAGCATGATTCCACCACGCTGCCTCACATATTTTATTTTCATATTTAGTTGATTTGTTTGATAAACAATTCCTAGATGAAAGGCTCTTGCAGGGGTGAGGCCTTCAAACACCGAACTGCATTCAAGATGCAGGCTTCATCAACTTCCATCATGTGGTACATTCAAACCTGCTCTAATGACAACAATCTGTACAAATGATCATCTCCCCCTTCCCCTCTTGTGTTTAAAAAAAAATATAATGACAATGTCTGGGGGGACCACCTATAATCTGAGATGACTACACTTTTTTTTTCCCTCAATAGTGGGTGTTTGTCTTGGAAAGGCTTGACTGTATTATCAGCTGAAGAATTCTCTGGGAATTCTTGGTTTAATAAAGACTTGTAAAATTATAGGGCAATTTATTGACATAGTAAAATTAGTTCAAATCACAATGTTAATCAGTAGAGAAAAGGTACGAAGTAAAGAGGCTCATTCTAAATTTCACCTTTATTGCAATAACATTTTGTATGTTTTAACTTCTGTCATAATTCTTTTCCTCAATTGTAGTAACTTTGAATGTATTTCTTTTGTTTTCAGGTATTTGACTGTGGAACCTGGTGAATGAATGCACTCTTGTAGTGAGTGTTATGCAAAGACTAAATCACACCTGGCGGCAGCAAAAACCGCTTGTCCATAATGTTCAGAGTGATGAGAAGGACTCTGCTCTACGGACGGGTATTCAGCATCGTAACCAGGGCAAACGTCGTTTGGGAAGATTTGCGATATCATCAGCACCTGTCATTGTTAAAACTGCTAACCACAAGATTCCCTCTCCTGTTGGCTCCAGCAGTAATACACATGCATCCGCAGTAAGCTGTTTACTTTAACTAAAAAATTGATCAAATGTCTACCAATGGGCAGCATTTTGTGCTGCACTGAGTCAGTTGATGCATCTTGACTTTAGCTCAACGTAATATTGTTACACATACTTTGACTGTGTCGTTGTAATATCTTCTGCTGCTGTAAAAATTGCTTAAAGTATTGTTTGTTTCCATAGAAATGACATTTTGTACACTAATCTGTATTATGTATTTTTGTACTTGATATCTGAACAGGAACCCCAGCAAGTTGTCAGTGAAAATGGTGAGCAAGGAGACATTCCACCATCTTTCTTGTCATCTTTCTCTGCCTCGATGGATAGTGACTTTCTCAAGGCTGTGGAGAAGATGGAAGCTGCAATGGATGACGAAGTGGGTGCCAATAAAATTGATGATGGTTCATGTCTCAGTACACTCAACAGGACCTCTCCAGAAGATGATCTGGATAACAAAAGGGATACATGTACCAATAAATTTATAGAAAGAACAGCCAACAAAAGTGTACATCCAACTGTTGAATTGAAGGGTGGAGGAAAAAGAAAACTGCTGAAAGATTCAACCTCATCTATTTATCAAAATAAAATGGAATTGTTGAAGCATGGAGAAGCAAAAGCAAGTTTTAGTCCATCATGCAGTCCTCTAGACAAAAAGCCAAGGCGTAGAACCAGAAATCCAACTACTGTTAGTGAAAAAGGAAACTTATGTCAAAGTATAACGCACAATACAGTTGCTGCTCACAACCTACCGGCCTCTTCAGGAAAGACCTGTGGATTGGATGATAGTATTGACTGTTCAGAAATTAGCTTTTCTCCTTTACTATCCACACCTGGGAACTTGTCCAATATAAGTATTGATGATACTTCTCCTCTTGAGACGCCAAAGTCGAGGAGGAATTTATCTGCACTTTCTTGGAAAAAACTTGTAATTGAAGAAAAACATCACAAAGAAAATTCACAGGCTAAAAAATCATCCTCAAGACTAAATAAGTCCTCAAAAGGTTCTTCTACAAAGGCCACACTTAAAAAGAGGCGGAGTCCCAGTCAGATCTTCTCCTCGGATCTTGCTATAACCAAGAGAGATCAGAAAGTACTCGAAGTTGGGCAAAACTCTGAGGAAAAAAGTTTGTTGATGAAAACTGGTGGAGAAATAAAATCCGCAGCATCACAAAAACCAAGGAAATCTCCTCGGAGTTCAGGAGAAATCAGCAAATTGAACAAAAGGGTTGACTTGAAGCTAAGAAATAAATCCAAGATTGATGGAGGAAAAGAAAATTTTGATCATATGGCTGTGCTCAGTGAAAGTGAAAATGTCATCAGGGTTGGAGCTAGTGTAGGAGGTAAATCAGAACTCTTAAACACTCTCAGTACTTTGAACTCTGACTTCAGTCATGCCAGAGAGCCTGGAAAGCAACAGAATTTGGGAAATGAGGCATCACCTACTTCAGCTAACGCGTCCACCAGTGGTAAGTCAACCTGTTTGTTCTCTTTGTTCTCTTTGTGTTTCAATGTTGTTTTCTAACATTTCTAGTCAGGGAGAAAGGCGAGCATTTTGATAAGCAAAAGATTGCTGTGTGTAGAACTGTTTTGCCTTGAATGCCACTAGAATTTGTTATGTTACTGCTGCTGTACCATCAGTTTTGTCTCTTCTTTCATGTTGAATGTAGAGCATCTAAAAAAGCCTTGTTTATTCGTAGAAATGGAGTAGAAAGAACCCTCTTTTCCACTTTGAGAAGCAAAAAGCTATTCATTCAGATCACTTTGTTTTGATGTTGTTCTCAAATTTAGTCCTTAAAATTCCTTTGACTGACGCTGTCTCACGTTTATTGTAAGTAGTTATTTTCTTTTTGTGTTTTTGTTTGACTAAGCTTGTGTGGGTTACAATCTAATTTTGTTCTTACTTATGTCATCTTCACCTGGTTTCTTCCCGCGCCTTTGCTAGGGTTGTTGATGGATGCTGTGGTATGGTCTACTCCATCTCCTTTTTTGTAGGTGATTTGAGGGTGCTACTGGTAGGTTCCACTCTTTCCTTTCTGTCTGTTTTGCTTGATCCGGCACTGAATGGCAAATATTGTATTGATATGTTTTTCTTATCTCTTAATCCAAACTTCAACTCCCTTCTTTTCAGTGTTACTTAAAATGTTGTCTTAATATGCTCCTTGGGGAAATGGGGCTATCGTCCACTTCTGCTCAACACAGTAACCACATCCCTTCTACAGTTCGAGCCAATGCAAGTCTGACAGAGGACAAGAGACAGCTGAGCTCATGGGGCCTGCCAGAACCTGTGCTGGAGGCATACCGAGGTCAAGGGGTCACCGTTATGTTTGAGTGGCAGGCAGAGTGTTTGCTCACTGGGAATGCTCTAGGTGAGTTGGCTGACATGTTGTGGTGTTGTATGACATGACCAGCATGTGCAGTTCAGTGGTAGGCTCTTCACTGTTGCATGCAGGAGATGTGATGTGAATTTGAGTCCCAAATGGGGAAGTTAAATTTTGAGTGTCTGTTCTTTTTCTGGTATGTTGTAGGATTCCACTTATCTGGGTTGACCCTGAAAAGTGGGTGGATGCAGCCGGCCCCCTTAATGATCTAAATTGTGCTGATGGGGGGGTTAAACATGTAAAAATCTTTATTGTATGACATGTGCAAGGCATCACTGTTGATGTTAAAACATGTGGTACATGGGCCATTTTTCTTATGGATGAGGATTTGTTGGTGCTCTTGTATGGTTTACTCTGTACTGATTTCTGTGCTACCATTGTCCTCTAAGCTATTCTTAGTGGACTGTGGATGTTATTTATCTGACTCTTCATATACTCTACTCAGCAATGGCCACTTTTTAAATGTATTTTAGATTTTGGAAGTTTCAGACATCCCAGAGTTTTTGTTTCTTAATAACATTTTTTTTCTTGATTATATTTTTCCATGAAGGATTTTTTAAAACCATTTCTAGCAAACAAGAAAACTTTTGGAAATAATTTTAGAACCTCATATGGCAAGCACCCGGTGCTGGAGTGTATTACCTACCTAGCCTGAAATCTAAGACTAATGTGAAAAATTATATTACCTTTCTTTGTGTGTTCTGCAGTTTTGTCCACAATTCTTTTTCTTACTTGATGTGATGGATAGTGTTGTTTAAATGATTTTGACTGTTAAAGAGTTCGGTGTTTTCTCAGACATTTTTTTGGCTACATTTCCTCACTGATGTTTTAAAATTTTGGGAATAAATCATAATTACAAAGCCTTTTCACCTTCTAATGGTTCCTCAGAAGGGGGTAACCTAATCTACTCGGCTCCGACTAGCGCTGGCAAAACTCTAGTAGCGGAGCTCCTGATGCTGAAGCGAGTTGTGGAAACCAAGAAAAAAGCATTGATTATCCTCCCCTTTGTGTCCGTTGCTCGAGAGAAAATGTACTCCCTGCAGGTAATGTTACTTTTAAAATCTTCCTGTTTGCAGATTGTATCGATGGGGGCGTAAGCATCTATTAGATTAAAAAACACGCTAATCAAAATGACGCAAGTTTCTGAGATAAAATAGTTATTTCCTTAAAGCGTAAACTTTTAATTTTTACCCCTTCTTCTATACTTTAAACAGTAGACTTACCTTTCATTTTTCCTTGTGGATATTTTCATTTTTAGAAATTGCTTCTGATAACGTTCATTTCAAGCAAAATTAAATATCATTATCTGACTGCTATTACTTGTCATATGATATTTACATTTCCAGCAAGGTGACTGTCACTGTGATTAACTGCACAACACTTTATATAACTATCATAATGTTCTGTTGGAAGTTGTATTTCTTTTGTCTTTTTTCTGTTCAGAGCCTGTTTCAGGATGCAGGTATCAAGGTTGGTGGCTACATGGGCAGCTACTCTCCAGCTGGTGGATTGTCCAATGTGGACATTGCTGTCTGCACCATTGAGAAGGGCAACGGTTTAATCAACAGGCTCATGGGGGAGAGTAAACTAAACGATCTTGGTGCGTAGTGTTTTTATCGGTAAAATGATCCTTCTTGTTGTAGTACATTCTATAAATATGTTTTTGCACCATAAAAATGAAGTTGCACGAAACATTAGAACATATCTTTGTCATAAAAATTAATTTTTCTCAATATAGATAAAGTGATTTCTAAATACTCTAAGACCTTCTTTTTTGTGTCATAAAAATAGTTGTACAAAGTACTATTTGAACTTCTCTTTTGTTCGATAAAAATGAAGCAAAACAAAGTGCTATGAGAACTTCTCTTTTACCCACCCAGTAAAAATGAATTTGTTTCTTAGAACTTCTCTTTTACTCAATGAGAATAAAGGAGTACAAGATCCCATTAAAAGTGACTGTGATGTATTTCAATGTATGCCTGCAGGTGCTGTGGTGGTGGATGAGCTTCACATGGTGGGAGACGCACACAGAGGTTACCTACTGGAGCTTTTGCTAACCAAACTGGCCTTTGTCACTCGGCAGTGAGTGTGTGTGTGTGTGCTTGTGTGCGCGCGCATGTGTGTGTGTGTGCATGTGTGTAAATGCATGTGTATGAGGAGGACTTATTGCAGGAGAAAGGAGAATGAGAAAAAAATGAATGGCAGGTGAGGGGGGGGGGGGGTATTTGGGAATGACTAATGGTTGGGATTTTTGTTTGGGGGGTGGGATCGAGTCAGTAAAGAATGGTTTAGGGGTGGGTTGTAGGGAGAATAGGGCCTAGGAGAGGGCAGAGGTATATAGGAAGGAGGGGATGAGGGGGCTCTGTCTCTTTTCTTATTGTGTGAGGAGGGGGACTGAGGGATAGGATATGTAGGAGAAATTTGTTGTGTTGTTTGATATTTTTTTCATTTGTTTATAGTTAGTAATACTAAAATTCCCGCGAATATGTTTATGTATATTTAAATAATACAGCTAAAAGTCCCATGAACACACATACATCCTGTCATTTCTTTTTTATCAGGACCGATGAGGTTTCACAAGGCAGTCACATACAGATCATCGGGATGAGCGCAACGCTACCCAACCTCCCTCTCCTGGCGAAATGGCTGAACGCGTCGCTGTACCACACAGACTTCCGCCCCATCCCGCTCAGCGAGCACATCAAAGTGGACAACAAAATCTTGGACAGCTGGCTGGTCGTCCAGCGAGAGATCCCGCCAGCTCTGGTGTTTCCGGACGATGCAGACCATGTCTTGTCTCTGTGTCTGGAGACGGTGTTGGGCAATCACGGCGTCCTGGTGTTCTGCCCCACCAAAAACTGGTGCGAGAAGCTGTGCGAGTTTGTGGCTCGCAATTTTTACAGCCTTACACATAATGTAGCCGGGCGACCAGAGGCTGATGAGCAGAGGAAGGACGGTGGTGAGTCTGTGGAGGAGGTGGGAGATGGGGGGCAGGGATGGAAGTGAAAAGGAGGGGTGTAGTATTGAAAGTCCTGAAACCTCCATTTTGTTGTTGTAACTTGTAATGCTCTGTCTTGTGCTTATTTAAGTTTTTTAGTGTATAAATTTGGGGATATTCTGTAAAGTAAAATGAAGCCAGGATGTCCTTAACTGACTTTCTGTTTCTGTTTTCCTCCAAATGCTACATGCATTTGATTGACACAACTTAGATAATTTAGAAGGCATGCTTTGACTCTGCCTGACAGGGCCAACCTGTGCTGACTGTGGTTAATGGAATACAGCATCCTTTCAGAAAGACTGTCAATTTTTCAGTATGGAAAAGGGGATAGGGATGGTTGGTGATTGCTTCTGGTGATGCTGTTTCTTTCTTTTCTCTCTGTTTCTTCTCAATGTTGTATTCCCCCCTCCTCACACACACACACACACACACACGTAAACACTCTCAAGTTTCCTTGGACCATCTTTTTGTTCTCGTCCTTCTTTTTAATCAACACAAACAAAATTCCCAGAGCCAGCTGATGGTGCAAAGCTCACCCTGGACAGAGCCGGGCTGAAGGAGACAGTGGAGCAGCTCCGTCGTACGCCTGTGGGTGTGGACCCCATGCTGGGCCGATGTGTTCTCAATGGAGTGGCCTATCATCATGCCGGTAGAGTTTTCTTTTTTTCTTTCTAGACTCTGAATGTTTCTTTTTATACTGTGAAGATGAAAAGAGCTCTGTTTTGTTTCTGTGAATAAGTGCTGTTTGTTGCTTACCCTGTTATATTGTATTGCGTTTTGCTTTGTAGATTCGTTATTAAGAATCTCCTGGAGTATTAAAGGGTAATGGAAAAAAAGGGTTAGATTTTTAAAAAGGATTACCCATTTAGATTTGTGTTTCTGTGTTAACCTCAAGGAAGATATGTTCTTGTCTATTCTTATACCTCAAACGTAATTGAAACTTGAGGGAGATTACTGGGCTGTTTTTCAGCAACATTTATTAAAATTCTTATGTACAGTCGAAATTGTCTAAGGTGGTGGTCACCCATTGTTGAGGAGAAAAGTGGTTGTCTTGGACAGGTGGATTTCTTGGACTGTCATTACAATGTAAAAAAAATGTAAGGAGGAAAGTGGGAAGTGGTAGTTTGTACCAGTGATTTTTTTGGACAGGTAGGCATTAGAGCAGATTCAGACTGTATATGTGAAACAGTACAGGAAGTTTCTTTTAATTTGATCGGAAAAAAATTTATTTCATTTTTGTAATTCAGTCGCTGAGCACAGTAAGTTAATTTAATCTTATAGTAAAAATTTATTTCATTTTTCCCCTCCCATCACTGCTATCAAAAGGACTTACTTTTGATGAACGTGACATCATCGAAGGTGCTTTTCGACAAGGCCACCTGAAGGTTTTGATTGCCACATCCACCTTGTCCTCTGGAGTGAACTTACCGGCTCGTCGAGTCATCATTCGGACACCGATCTTTCATGGAGCTGTCCTGGATATCTTGACCTACAAGCAAATGTCTGGTCGGGCTGGCAGGAAAGGAGTTGATGTTGAAGGTAAGGCTTGTTGTCATGTAGGAATATTCTGTTTTAAGAGGGCAGATGAAGGGCGCCACTCGTACGTCCTGCTTCTTTTTCCGCGTTCTGTTTTTTTTTTTGGTGTTAATCTGTCGTACTTTTTTCTTTGCAGAAAATGACTGTTGTTATGGCATTGTGTTCCTCTTTTCTCTTTTCTCTTATTATTTCATTTTATCAAATTAAAAAATTTATTGTTTGTTTCATTTGTTGATATTTACTTCTCTTAATAGAGGTCACAATTTTTTGTTCTCTTGCAGGGATCAAATTAATTGAGCACCCTTCCCTAGAAGAAAATGTGGACTGAATTTACTGCTCATCCCTACTCAATGGTGTAATGGCTAGTATTGTAGCGTGTTAGTAAAATTATGATGGATGTATTAATTGGTGTGGCACAATATATGTTAAGACAAGTTTTAACCCTGTTATTTTCCTACGCAGATAAATGAAGTTGTCTTTTTTTTTTTCTATCTTCATGACCATCAGGGGAGAGTGTCCTGATTTGCAAGCCGGCTGAGAAGCTGAAAGGTCAAAAGTTACTGACCTCCGACCTGTCTCCTGTTGTCAGTTGTCTTCACTTTGACCCTGAGGATGGTTTGAGCTCTCGGTTAAAGAGAGCTATTTTAGAGGTAATTTTGGACTCAGGGCTTGTATTTGTTGCAATGATGTGTCGTCCCTCAAATCCCATGAAAAGTGGTTCTTTGCTGAAAATTTGTCATAACCGCATGAGAACAAGAAAGTAAAATGCTACATCTGCATGTATTTAAATTCTTCTCTAGTATATGAATTCTGTGTTGCTCTATACAAAGTTATCCTGAACAGAATTTCCCTGCGAGAAGTGATAGTGAAATGTCTGCTTTAAAAAATGTTTGTGTGAATGGTTGGAGGGCACCACTGCATGGTTGGTTTTATTTTTTTTTCTGCCCCTTGATTGTTTCCGTCTGTCATACTTTTCCTCCATACTTACTGACTTTCAGTGTCAGTGTGTTTCCCTTTCTAAACTCAAACAAACAAAACCAAATTTGTGTGTCCAGGTTGTGGTGAGTGGCGTTGCGGCCAGCCCTGAGGCGGTGATGGACTACGTCAGATGTACCCTTCTCTCCGCCTCTATGTCCACTCAGGAGACGGAGGACCAGAGCTCGGCTCTGCTGGAGAGTTGTGTCCAGTTTCTGCAGGAGAATGAGTTTGTCAGTGTGCAGGTTGTGGAGGGTGCGGGTAAGCTGGAGCTGAAGCTCTTTGGATTTTGTCTGTTGGGGTTTGGTGTTTCTGTCGTTATTGTCAGTAAAGCAATGAGTTGTTGTTGTTGTTATTGTTGTCAAAAAGCAATGAGTTCTGGTTGCTGTCCATAAAGTAATGAGCCGTGGTTGCTGTCAGTAAAGAAATGAGTTGTTGTTGCAGTTGTCAGTAAAAGAATGAGTTGTGGTTGCTTTTTTCAGTAAAGGAGCGAGGTGTGGTTGCCGTTGTCAGTAAAGGACGGAGTTGCTGTTGTTGTTGTCAGTGAAGAAATGAGTTGTGGTTGCTTTTGTCAGTAAAGGAATGAGTTGTGGTTGCTTTTGTCAGTAAAGGAATGAGTCGTGGTTGCTTTTGTCAGCGAAGAAATGAGTTGTGGTTGCTTTTGTCAGTAAAGGAATGAGGGGTGTTTGTTTTTGTCTGTCCACCAAAGAGTTGTTATTGTTGCTGCCGTCAGTCCGCCAATCAGTTGCTGTTGATGTTGGTTGTCGTTTTTGCTGGTGTCAGTCTGTTGATGAGTTGTTGTAACAAACAACCCCCCCCCCCCCCCAACTGTTTTGGTAGATTCAAGGTGTGTTTTTTTAGACTGCTGTGTTGTTTTGTGAGGTGCATGTGTGGTGTTTTATCTCCATGCAAGGAGGGGAGCTTTGATGCTGTTGAGTGCCTGGTAGTGGCAAAGGGGGCCAAGATTTGTATCAGTAGGATTTAAAGTCTGTTTATGAGCATCACTAGTATCAATATTGGTATTATTGTCAGTATTCCTCTTATTCTTGTTCTTATAATTATTGATTTAATTTTTCAACTGAATATATTGTTTTTCTTCAGATGGGCCGGTGCAAAAGTTCCTTCCAACACAGCTTGGTTCAGCTATTCTGGCCTCCTCTTTGTCCCCCGATGAAGGTTTGCTGGTGTTTGCTGAGCTGCAGAAAGCCCGGAGATGCTTTGTCCTCGACACGGAGCTTCACATTATATATTTGGTCAGTGATCTCTTTCCTTGCCGGTTTTGTTTAGCAGCTTTTTTGTCTCGTACCGAGTATTCTCAGTGTCTTGTTTCCCCCCAGAAGAGGGGTCATCTATCATCCTTGTCTCTCCTTTTCTTTGCATGTTACTCTCTAGTAAAAACTCTAATCTTTGGCACTTATATGAATTAATTGTATTGCAAGTGCTGTAAAACTCTTACTAAGTGGGTGGTTGGCGAGTGCTCTGGTATGGTTTGCTCCTTCTTTCCTATCAAACATCTATTGTCCTGATCTCCACTTCTTCTCTTTTATGTTCGATACTCTCTTGTAACACCTCTAATCTTCTGGTGCTCATATGACCTTATGCAGTTGCAAGCGCCGTACCGTAAAACCTCTACTATAACAAAACTCTTACTAAAACTAAACAGAAGAGGGAAGCTTTGAAGTCATCGAGAGCTGGGCACTGATAAAGAAGTAGTAGTTGAAACCTGTTTATTGCTATCGGTATTAATTTTATTTATGATATTGTTATTAATTTTATTGGGACATCTCAGAAAAGTATCTTCTGGTCTAAATTGCCTTGAACTGCACTACTTGCTGATCAGGTTCAGGAAAAGAATGTCAGCTTTTACCTGTTAACATGTGCTGGAGAAATGCTGACTTTTAGACAATACACATGCATAAGTAGGATTTGAAATATTATTATATTTATTATTACTATCAGTGTCATTATCATCATATTATTAGTAGTACAGAAGTCTCCGCCTAAGATCCCACCGCTTACGATCCCGGTTCGCTTAAGATCCCGCTGATTTAAGAAAACAGAATTTTTACTATACAAAAGTCACCCCTAAGATCCCGCTCTGATTCACTCTGAAGGTCTACATTCGGCTAAGATCCCGCATTTCAGATCATAATTTGCGGGAAAAAACTGCGGGCGGGACAGCCGATCAACCAAGAGTGAAAATTTGAGATCAATAAACTGTCCGTCGCATCAAAGATCAGCTACTATCGTGAATGTGATCACATACACATTGTAAAACTCGATGAAGCGATACAATGTTTGCCCCAGACGGGATCACACCGGGGTGTGAACTGACCGAAACGTTTGTTTTCCCCGAACATCTCACTCACACCTGAGCTATCCTCCTAAACTTACATCACTCGCTGGATGGGTAGGGCCTACACGTTCGCTCCTGGCGGGATCACATTGAACTGTGAACTCTTCCCTGACCATTGGAGAAGTTGTTTCTACTCCCGAATTTGCGAGACAGACTGAATTTTAATTGATGTATTCACAACGTAATGGTGTGTAACGACAAAGGCGGTTGGGGGAGATGGAAAGCTATAAATTTTCGACAGGTAAGGGGGAGGGGAGTGGCAACTTGATAAGCGTAGATCTTGAGCCTCATGATAGGATAATAAGTGAAAATGGCACGCCTCATCCCACTATGCTCTGTGATAGGTCATCAAGGTTAACAACTCTTTGCTCGCCATATGTTATAAACCCACCAAGCGGTCACGTCAGTTCATTCAGTGGAGGGAGACCATTTTACCGATTGTAAGCCTTAACATGGGTCACCATAGATTCTTCCCTGGGTTCGTCGGTTAAGATCCCGGTTCGCCTAAGATCCCGCTTTCCTTGCTCCCGAGCACCAGGATCTTAGGCGGAGACTACTGTATTAGCATTATAACTATCATTGCCTGTGACGATGTGTTCAGGAACTGCTAGAGCATCTTTTTTAATGTTCTGATTCTGATCTCAAACTGACTTTGGTGATCATGGTTTGCCACTCTTTTTTTCTGCTTGGATACTCTTTAAAAAATTATATTATCCTGTCTTTTTCCTGTCACCTGTCTGTTCCACTTCTTTAAGTAAGTTATTTGTAGACTATCTTTACCTAATTTCTGTGGGTGGTTGGTGGGTGCTCTGGTGTGGTTTGCTTCTTCTTTCCTATGAAACATCTATCGTCCTTATCTTCCCTTCTTCTTTTTTATGTTTGTTACTCTCTTGTAACACCTCTAATCTTCTGGCGCTCATATGACCTTATGCAGTTGCGAGCGCTGAAAAATCTCTACTAAAACTAAAAGCTACCTAATTTCTGTTGTTTTCTATTTTGGGCAAGGATCGATGCTTTTATGTTGATTCAAATATCCTAGGAAATGCATTGGCTTCTTTTTATTTTTGTAAGTACTGTCATTCTATTTTCTCCAGGTAACCCCTGTCTACACGACCGATGTGTCCACGACCTTGGACTGGTACCACTATTACTCTCTGTGGGAGTCCTTGACCCCCGCTGACCGCCGAGTAGCCGAGCTGGTAGGCGTGACCGAGTCGTTCATCGCACGAGCCATCAGGGGCAGGGTTGGGCAGAAGACGGAGAGTCAGAGGAAAGCTCTGGCTGTGCATCGGAGATTTTACACTGCTCTCATTTTGAATTCTCTGGTTAGCGATTAATATTTTGCCATAGCCTTGTTTCTATTATTTGATATCTTGATTTCTTTTATATCTTGATGTTATTCAGGTAATACACTGGTCTCATTTTCAAATTCTTCGTAAGCAGTTATTCTTTTGCAATAATATTGTTTCTTTTACTTGAGATTACTTACTTTGCTGTGTAATATTCACCAGTGTCTATGGTGTAATGGTTAGGTGCTTCGCTGTTGTGCTCTGGAGATGTGAGTTGGATTCATGAGTGGAGAGGCATTTTATTGAGTATCTCGGTCTTTTTGGAGAGCTGATGTTGTGTCCCTCTCAGCCGGGGTTGGTCCTTACAAGCAGGGTCAGAGGCCCTCCTCATGAATGATTTAAATTGTGTTGATAGTTATGTGAAAAAAAAAAGCCACATTCAAAAAGAAAAAAGTTTGGGTTCATTTTGTGATGTTCAGTGGAAAGTCATTCCCCTGCCTCCCTTTTTTTAAAATACAAGATTTGATACAGTTTGAATCTTGAATTTTCTAACATTGCTTGATCATGTGAACATTTTTGTAAAATAAATGCTTGCTCCTTGGTCTAATTAAGGTGAAATCAGTTAAACAATTTTTTCAATTCCAGAAATGAGCTTGTTACTGGGTTTTTTAATCTCTTACATGACAGGTTATCTTCGCCCTTATGCATGATTTTCAAATTAAAAAAAAAAAAAGTTTAAATTCCAGTATTGGCAAGAAATCTTTCTCATTCTTAGTAGCATCCCTGTTTGACCCATGATTTAAGGGAGGTGTAAAATTTGGACTGAATTTATTCCAATTGTAATTTTCAAGTAAATTTTCTCTTGCTTGAAAATTTTACTTAGACAGCTGTATGAAAAAATGTGCGAATCTTCAATATGGTTTTGTCAGTGAGGATCGTGTAGTTAAAAAAATGTCATTATTATCCGCAGATTCAGGAGACTCCCCTGATGGAAGTTGCAGAAAAGTTCAGTTGCAGCAAAGGCCAGCTTCAGTCACTGCAGCAGTCTGCCGCAACATATGCTGGTGAGCTATACCAGCTTTGATGGTTTTTTTCTTCCCTTTTACCAGAAATTTCAGAAGTGTTCCAGAAAAATACTTTCCCGAGACTTTATGACACTCAATGCCCCTTGTGAATGTTTTTTTTCTTCAGTGTTTACAAAGGTCTGAAAGTCTTACTTGCTCGAGATAGCTTCCCACAATTATTTTGTTGATAGCTTTACGACCATTGTTTTTTTGTTTTTTTGATGAATCAGATCTAAATTACAACAGAGAAATATGGCTGTCTGTCTAATGCTGACTGTTTTAGTATTTAGAAATTTGGTTAAATAAAAGAGACTTTCTCAGAACTAAATATTGTATCATATTTTTGCCTATAAATATTGACAAAATTTTATGCCAATTAAAGTTTCAACCTTTTTAAAGATTTTTACAGAATTCTTTTTTTCAGTTTTGGCGCCAAATTTTTCTCTTGCTAAATTAATCGATAGCCTGATCAGTTACCCTACTTGTGAAAAAAGCAAAGTGAAACTGAATAGTTTTTTAAAATAAATTAGAATTCAAATTTTGCAAGAAAGCTTTTTAAAATGATTACACTTACAAAATGCCTTTTTATCTTGAAACTGCTGTGAATAAGAAAAAGGTGTTTTGTCCGCATACAGCATTGTACTAATTTTTGTTCTGAACGTTTCACATAAATGTGCTGACCAGGTATGGTGACTGTGTTCTGTGGACGTCTGGGCTGGCACCACTTGGAGCTCCTCCTGTCCAGGTTCCAGCCTCGTCTGTCGTGCGGTGTGCAGCAGGAGCTGGTTGACCTAGTGCGCGTCTCAGCGCTGAACGCAACCAGCGCCCGCATGCTGTACAACGCAGGGTACCACACCGTCGCAGATCTCGCTCGGGCAGAGGACCTTGACATTGAAGATACACTGAAGAAAGCTGTGCCTTTCCAGAGGTATTAATCGAAATGTTTTCTCCACCAAAGTGTCTTTTCCAGATTTTTTTCTTATTCCTTTCCCTCTAGCATGAAATGATCATTTATATTCTTGTGATCCTCATATGCCACTTCACAGAGATGACCTAGGGAGACTTTAAAAAACGGAGGAGCTATTAAAAAAAACAACCCCAAAATGTCTGTGATCATGAGTCGTGTGGCCAGATATGTCAAAGAATGTAAGAATTGATAATGCAGTTTTGAGTGTTCTTGTATGCTGTTGTAGGCATGTATGTGTATTAGTGCATATTTATGGCATATGTGGTTGTATGTGTGCTTTAGAGAGTGCACACGTGGGCCTGTATGTCCAAATGAGGCATTTTCCTTTTTGGTATCAATGTAAAGCCACTCAGAGGCCACATGATGGAATCTGGGTACTGTAGAAATGTGTTTTACTTATTGGTACAGTTATTTTTATGATATTATTATTGATATTGTTATTTTTCTTATGCTATTGAAAATTGATAGTCATCATTTTTATCTTTATTCTCATTATTATTATTATTATTATTATTATTATTTTCATTCTGTTTGTTCACTGTTTCAGTGAGAAGCGACAAGATGGAGAGACAGACTGGGAGCTACAGGAGCGGCGACGAGCGCGGTGTATTTGGCTGACCGGCAGGAAGGGGGTCACAGAGCTGGAGGCCGCCCAGGCTATCATAAATGAGGCCAAGGCCATTGTGCAGGGTGACCTAGGGGTCAAGGACATTGACTGGGCTCAAAAGGTTGAGGATAAGGATGGTGTTGAGATGAGTGATGAGGATTTGTCGGAGAGAAATGTTGATGGTCTGAAAGAGAATGATGGCGAAGATGTTACTATGGATGGAGAGAGTGCAGGGGCCAGGGAGGACCAGGACAGTGGCGTGACGAGTCGTGATGACAAGAGAGTCGGGAAAAGTTTTGAAGATGACTCTATCGAAGCTCCAGTTTTGGAACATGGTGGACTGAAAAATGGTAGAGTTCAATGTGACGTCCATGTGTCTACTGGGAGGAGAGAACTGACACAGAGGGATAACCAGAATCCTGTTGATAATGAGTTTCGTAAAACAGAAAGATCGGACTGTGTACAAACTCGTTCTCCTCCAGTCCTGTTAAAAGAAAAAGAAAAATTTATTGGGCAAGATATGATGAAAGATGTAGTGAGGGAGAGTGGAAGGAAACAGAGACAAAAGCATGGGAGTGGTGGAGAAGGTGACGTCAGTCCACGTCTGCAGGTAAGCCACAATTTAAATATGACAAGACGAACTCAGCGGCGAAGGTCAGACAAGCGTCGGAGTCTTGAAAGGTCATTCTTTGGTCAAGTTGTGGTGAGCCCACCCCCTGGTGTTGTGACAAAGACGCCACCATCATCGTCAGGCCCTACAGAACCCCAGAACTGTCAAGGCAGGACATTTAAAGAATCAGAGAACAGGGAAAGGAAAACAAGAAACCTGACAGATATAACTGTACTTGAGACTAAAGCAGTGGAAGGTAATTCAGTTACTGGTAATAGATTGGCGTCTGAAAGAGATGCCTCTATTGTATTGAGTGATCAAAACAGAGAACAGAGAGGAAATATAAGTGTTGACTGTGATGCTGAAAATTCGTTTGCTATTAATAGCTCCATCTGTAACGATGAATCAGCTTTCAACGATAGCTTTGTTCTGGACACTCAGACAGTTGAGCTCATCAACAGAGGATGTACTGCCGCAAACACACAAAAAAGTCAGCGGACTAGCAACCGTGGTGGTGGAAGTTCTGAGCCGCAAGAGGTGTTGGCTAAGAGCATGTCGTCTCCAAGTCAAATGAATGACGTAAACGAAAAGACCAATTATCTCCATGACGATCTGAAGAAGTCTTCTGGGAATTATAATGGTGTTGCTTGTGATGGGAAGGTTAATGATCTGGATACAGGGGACTGTATTACTCCATGCAGACAGAGTCATGACAACAGTGATGCTGTATTGTCTGAACCTCTCTTCAACTCTGATGAACGACTTAGTACACAGGCTCACAAAGTGAGCACGAACCCTCCAGAACCTTTCTCTTCCATCCTTTGTGACATTGAGCAGGATGATGGAGTGAAGAAATTAGTGGTTGATTGTGGTGAAGAAAGCCACCGTCGGAGTGCTGGTGATGACAGTACGAGTGGTTGCAGCTCCCTGATTGCGGCAAGTAACTACGAGAGACTGGAACAGTTTGATGAAGGTTTGATGGATGGCTCGTCTTTGGGTGAAGAAGATTTTGGTAGGTCACATTTTGATCAAAATCTTAATTTAGATGAAGCTCTGACATCATCTGCAGGACTTGACCAAACTGGTGTCATTGAAGAAGATGATGCTATTGAGAAAACTAATAACAAAGATAATGCAGGTATTCATGGTAAAACAAGGGTTTCTCCGTTCACTTCAGATTTGCAGGAGAATGAAGAACTTTTGCTAGCGGCTCTCGGGGACTCTTTCTCTGAGTCACTAACAGCAGCCGGCATAGATCCCGGTGTGTCTCCAGTGCTTGGCAAACTTTGCTCAGGTTTGGTCACAAAAGATGCTGGTATTTCTGTGCCGACAAACTCTACTCCCAACATTCCTGAGAGAGCGAGGAGACTGGTGGGTAAAACGCTCACACAGACGCAGAAACGCATGCGTGAACTGACGCAAAAACTGACTCAAGAAGCCCCTAAATTGGAGGATGATAAAAAGCCACATTTCTCTGGCACATCTGTCATGGTGAACGCAAATAAAAAACAAGGAATTTTAGAGAAAAAAGAGTGTTATGCCACTGCTGGCTATTATTTGGCTAAAGGTCCTGGTCCTATCAAAAGTAAAGGAACATTTCAGAGTCATGGTTTGGAAGAAGGTGACTCTACAAGAAATGGAAAGTTGTTATCAACAAATGGTTCTAAGACTACCCAAAGTTCTGCTTCTCATGGAAATGTTCCTGTAAATTCTGACGAGTGTTTTCCAGACTCCTTCAGTTCGTCCTTGATGGACAAGCTTATGAGAGAGTGTGAAACTTTACCACAGTCCTCTTGCAGAGATAAGTCTCAGAATTTGAGGACAAATAAGATCCATCTCCTTGGAGAGAGACCACAAGGGACAGAACAAAGTGATGTAGTTGCTGCTGCTAGTAGTAAACCTTCGTCCAACAATTCCTCACGCAACGATGGAAGTGACTGTGTCCCCCCGACACCTCCGGAAGAAACATCTAGTTTTGCTTCTCCCCTCAAGATGGCTGCTAACTCTCCACTTCGGGTCAAGGACTCTGGTAGAAAAATGACCTCCCCTTTTGTAAAGTTAATGTCAAAGGGAAAGAATGGGGAAAATTCTGGTCAAAGTGCAAAAAAAGTTGACAGTGCAGTCGTAATACAGAACCAAAGGGAGAAATTCACTGTCTTGAAAGACAAAAAGTGTAAAAAATCTTTACAAACAGGTTTAATTGAAAAAGTTGCTGAAGTTACTGGTAAAGTCACAGACAATCACCTGCTTGAAGGCTTAGAGGACAATTCTTCCATTGGGACAAGGACCTTGCACAAAGCCATTTCTTCTGTTGCGGACTATTCCGGAGAAGGAATAGAAGTCATGTCTGATGAGGAAATGACATCATTGCATGGTGATGAGGAGGAGGAGGAAGGAATGGATGGGCTCGGTCAGTCGCTGGTCGCGTCTCAGCTGCTGACTCAGCAGTCTTTCACCATCATGGATGTGTGTGCGGACCAGCGTTTGTTTGACTCGTTCCTGGCTGAGTGGAGAGCTCAGCCGTGCTACAGCCTTGCTGTTGCTTGTGAGAGGAAGCCCTCAGCCAAGAAGGGCACTCGATCTGCTTCAGGAATTGGCAGCAAGTTCATGAAAAGTGAGTAACTTGCATACAGAAAGGGTGGTATTTTGCTTTTTTTTTGTGAAAGTGGACTCAAGCTCATGAATTATAATTAGCAACTTTGGAAATAAATTGTCAAAAATAAGGTGCTGCACAGTGGTAACCAGCAGTGAGGTGTTTGTAGAATTATGTATATTTTCTGAGTTCAGTTAATGTGATATTTTCTTCAATTTTTTAAAATTCTATTTTAATTTTAGTCCCTGCCCCCCCCCCCCCCCCCCCCCCCCCCCCACCCCCCCAGGACAGCACTACTGACTGAAGCGTCTTTAGGCCATTCCCAAAGGGGTGTTATTAACATATTCTTAGGCACAGCAGAATTGTAAATGGGCTGATTAATCAATGTCATGCTCATACTGTGCCGGAACAACATAGGGGGAACTGCTACTTTTTTTTCCCTCATACTTTCTATCGTCATTTTTCCTCTACTTCCTTTGTATGTTTGTCAGTCTCTTGTGAACTGCTATTTCCGGGGTGCCTTGATAGTCGAAGCAGACTTTGTGCTGTTGAGGCTAGAGAGATGAGCAGAGTCAGCCTGATTCTCCGTTTGAACTTCTCTGTTGACATTTCCTTAGCGCTCATATGACCTTATGCAGTTGCAAGCACCGTAAAACCTTACTGAAACTTTTAAAAAAACCTTGCAAAGGTGGTGATTTATCCTATTTTTTATTTTCATATTTTATAAAGATGGTATTTTATTGTTTAATATATTTGAACTCAACAAAAGCGATATTTTATCCTGTATTTTTCCCCCTTAGTAAAAGCATTATTGTATTGTCTTTTATTTTTACCTCAATTAAAGTACCGTTGAATTTTATTTCATTTACCATTTCCGGAATAAAAATGGCTTTTTTTTCCTTTTTCCTTTTAACTTTTTAACTCACTTACTCCCCAATCAGGGAAATCGTCCCCATCCCTGACAGACAGTCCTTCAGCTTTGGGTCTCCTGGTGCCTGACACAGACTCTATGCTGGTGGGTGTGGCCGTGACCTGGGGCAGCAGAGATGCCTACTTCTTGTCATTGATGCCCACAGGCTTTGTAGGTATGTGGCAACCCGTAACATTTTCACTTCTGGTATATCTTAGCTTTGTCATAAAAAAAAGAGGAATAAGATAAAGTGAGGGTAGTTGGAGGGCGCCGCTTTCAACTTTTGTTTCTGTCTGCCCTTCTTGCTTTTTTTCCCTGCAGTTAATGACCATTGATGTGTTGATATTGTGTTTTTGATAAACATTTGCCATTGGTAGGAGAATGCCACTGGGAGATTCTATTTTTTCCCCCCTCTGTTGTTTTTGTTTGTGTATCTTGCTTTTTCCTGATCCAAATGACCATTGTCGTGTTGTTTTTATTTGTGTATCTTGCGTTTTCCTGATCCAAATGACCATTGTCGTGTTGTTTCTTTCTGCTCAAACAAACTCATATCTTTTAGACTGAAGAAGTTGGTGGGCATTTGTTTCGTTCATCATGACAAATGATATATTTACACCACAATTGTCCTTGTATGTTGCATCTGGTATTTCTGGGAACTAGCTGACATTGACCCAGATGACACGCTTGCTGAACCCCCACTGGACGAGACTCTGACGCAGGAGATTCGATTACAGGCATTGGCGGCTGTCTTACAAGAACATGCAGGTCAGAAATGCCAAAATTTGGAAATGAAATTCCAATTATAGGAGGAATTTGTGTTCATTGCAGCCCTGTATTGATATAGAATATTTATGTGTTTACAAATTCTATCCTGGTGCCCTTTTCCCCATCTTCATTCTAACCCCTTTTACTGCCTGGTCTGGGTAAAAGTGTCATGGGCTCTTTGGTAGGATTATGGAGCAGGCCTTGAAGTGAAATGGTTAAAGTGACTACTACCACATGGAAGTGTTTTGGACTAGGAACTTTTTTTGTTTCATAAAAATTTATTATTCAAAGTTAGGAGGACAGTTTCAATAAATTGTTAATGACAATGTGATTCACTTTCAGCATTTGAAATTCCCCATCGAAGATTGAAGTTGAAGTTGCAGAGAAAGATGAAATTCAGACTTTACAGAAAATTTGTGGATGCTTAAATGTTCTCTGTTTCTTCTGCTTTTTTTTACTTCAGTGTTACAGTAACCTTTTTCTATTCCAGAAAAATATAGTTGTCATTGTACAGACTTGCAGTAAACCAAACTCCTTAGTAACTTTTATTCTAATCTTCCTATTTTAGATCCGAAATGTTTATGAGATCTTAAGGGGGGGGGGTCTTTTGCAGACTACTTCTTCTCTGTCCACTTGCCATTTCTATACGTCTGTCTTTCCAGCACTGAATCATCATCATTGTGTCAATGTCTTTCTCTTTAGGCCAAACTCCAACAAACACTGATGTAACATCATAATATTTTTAGCACTATGACACAAACTCTTTGACTTTATCTCCTACTGCAAATGGTTGGGGGGCACGCACCCCGGGTAGGTCCTACTTTTTCTCTTACACTCTGTTGTATGTCTGTCTGTCTTCCTTTTTCCCTGCACTTTAAGACTGATTAAATGTTGATGTGCTTCTGTTTACTCATAACTCGGTGAGTGGTTGACGGATGCTCTAGAGTGGTTTGCGCCTTCTTTTCTATCAAACAACTATTGTCCTTATCTGTTCTCCTTCTTTTTTGCGTTCGTTACTCTCTTCTAACACCTAATCTTCGGCAAGTATATGACCTAATTGTGTTGCAAGTGCCGTAAAATGCTTACTAAAACAAAATCTCATGACTCAGGTAGTGTTTTTCTCTCCCTCAGACTCAGGCCAGCACACCGTTGGCGTGTTCGATGCCAAGAGTGTGTACGTTCTTCTGGCCAGAACACTTGGCAGTGGCCTCCCGTCCTGTGAGGACCCGCGGGTCGCTGACTGGCTGAGACAGCCCGGTGGACGACTCAAGAATCTGCACAGAATGGTGACCAGCTACATCCCAGCGGAACTGCCATTGCTTGACGGTGAGACAGGACTGTGCTTTGTTATGATGTAACAAAAAAAATTCCTCTTCAAGCCTGAGTGAGGACTGGATGTAAGCTGTTTATTTTGTGATGTACGCTTTGTTGGCTGGATAAGTGGCAAGTGGAGTACTGCTCTGAAAAATGAGTAGAAGAACATTTAAAAAAAGAAAAAATGGCCAGTTTTGCCAGGTTGATGGTTGAAACACAGACCTATGTCATGAGTATCATCTACTTGGTGAAGCTGCTTAGACTTCTTTATGTCTTGAACTGAGTCCCTGACACTGCCTATAAGTCTAGATGCAACTCTTCCTTCTTTCAACAGCGGTTGGTGGAGTGACTGGTCTCCTCAGTCTTAGTTGTGACGTGCGGAGTGGAGTAGGCGGCCGGTTGCGTGCGTGTACTGAGAGTGTGCTCACCCTGAAGCTCATGGGATACTTCCAGGAGATGTTGGCTGAGGAACAACTGCTGGAGGCCTTCAGGACGGTGGAGATGCCCGCAGTGGTCACCCTGGCCCGCATGGAGCTCAATGGGTTTGGTGAGTGGGGCAAGAAAAGTGCGAGCACCTCTGTGTTCATCCTCTGTTAAAGAGAAGGACAGGAAAGAGAGCTGTTTAGTAATTGTAATGTAAATGTTTTACAGTTTCACAACCCCCCCCCCCTCCCCATGTTTAGGTTTAGTTACTGATTTTTTATTTTGGGATTTATATTGGTGGATAACACATTATGTCTTGCTATAACGCCAGGTGTGAGTGAGGAGCAATTTGAGAGCCAGAAGTCTGTCATGATGTCCAAGCTGACGTTTTTGGAGGAGCGAGCGTACCAACTGGCCGGACATGTCTTCTCCCTCACATCCACTGATGATATAGCAAAGGTAATGAGACATACTAAGATTGAAAATGTCTTTTAGAGCTGAAATTTTCTGTCCCTGTGACAGTAACAACTGTTGTATTGATACACCGTGGTCTGTGTGAGTTGTGCTTTTCTCTGCTCAGCCACTTCTCTGCCTTAACTCTTTATCCGGATTGCCACTAAAGTAGTATTTTGGAGGGTACCGATTTCATCCACCCTAAGAAATACATCTGGTCCTGTGCTATATTTACTACTTATTTTCACCTATATTGTGATTCTCTGTTCTTATTACAAATAGTCTGAGTGCTCACAAAAAAAATCCATCGATATCTGACTGAATTAAAGCTGTTTTAAGGTAACACCCTTCACTGTTGGGGGCATAAAATTGTGGAATCCCTTGTGTACTGAAAGAGTAAGTAGCCATCCGCTTATACTACCATAATTTGATGCTTTGATCCATGCTGCCTCTTTCTATCGTTATTTTTTGCATTTACTGTTGTGTACATATTTGAAGCATCACTAATGCTATGTTTTGTCTTGTGATTAATATCATAATTTCAACCGCTTTGCAGATCACAGGTCCACTATTAAATTCTACTTTTTTTCTTTCTTTTTGTTGTTCCTGTATGTCTGTCTTACTGTTTTCTGACATTAAATCATCATTATTGTATCGATGTGCTTCTCTTTACTTAGAATAATAAAACAAATGAACAAATAATTTCATCCACATCTCAGATACTCTACATTGAACTCCGGCTTCCTCTGAACGGCGACCCAAACGCCGTCGCACGCCTGCCCACCAGAGGGCGTGGGAAACGCACCACAGTGGGCAGCACCAGCAAGGAAGTCCTCGAGAAGCTGAGCTCCCACCACCAGCTGCCTGCCGTCATCCTTGAGTGGCGTCGGCTCAGCTCTGCCCTCACCAAGTCCCTGCTGGCCTTACAGCGCGAGGCCAAACCCTGTGCCAGGCTGGACATGCCCAGAGTCTTTTCCGATTGCCAGATTTTCTCTGCTACTGGTCGAGTCAGTATTGCCGAGCCTAACTTGCAGAACATTCCAAAGGATTTTGCTATCAGTTTGCCAGGTAAACTGTTAGAATGTGTATTAGTGATGAAATTTTCCTAGGTGAACTGATAAAAGGTATAATAGTGATTTGATTTATTCAGAATTTTTTTTCTCTATTTGCCTAAATAAAAGAGCTTGAAATGACTTTGTGGGTTTTTTTTGGCGTCCTTAAATTTTAATCTCTTGTGAAATAGAGTGAACTGTTTCAGATATGAGCATTTGCAGCTCTTTTTTATTGACGAGTTGCTTGCATTTCTTGTGTATCTTAATATAAAAAGGAATCACTGCTGATGTGATTTTTTTGCTTAGCCGCTTTTCTTATTACGGCAAAATGTAATGTGTTTCTATTTGTTATCAAAGTCCATAATGCTTGTTTGAGCTTGTTGCTCGCTAGTCAGGCATGCTGTTATTTGCTTATACCAGCTCTACCCAAGTCCACTACAGTGGGATAAATGAACAATTATTCTGTTATTACAGAAATCTGTTGCGGCCCTCCGAAGAAATCATCTACTCTCTCTTTTGTTGTGATTTTTTTCCCCCTCAAAAAGTATTCCCTATATGCTCTCTCTCTTTTGAAGCTGTTTTTGGTTGTTATTTTGTTTTTGTGAACTTTTTTTTGGTTTTTATTTGTTCAAGGTCTGGATGGTCAGGAGCAAAATGAACCTGGAGATTCAAAGGCCGTGACAGAGGGATTGCCTGTCAGCATGAGGAAAATATTTGTTCCATTCAGAGGTAAGAATAACAGAGGAAACCTTAATGAGGTTTTATATGCTAATATTTGTAAGTCTATATTTACCCTGAATTCTTTCATGTCTCGGTAGGATCAAAATACGATGCTCATCAGTGCATAGAAAATGTGTGTGTACCTGGAGAAAGGTCCCAGTCGTCAGAAATTTTGGATATTGACAGCAAATATAATGCAGAACACAGTGATTTTTAAATTGTTGAAATATCTAGTTGTCTTAAAGATATGCCTCATTTTGTAACACAGGGTGTAAAAAGAAAGTTTGGAGTAAAACCCAATTTCTAGCACAATTCTAACCTTTGGTGAAGTAGGCCTACAACATGTTGCAAAAAAAGCTAATAAAAATATTTAGACTTAAAATATCATAAAATCCTTTAAATACGTTATTAAGAAATGGTTAAATGTGTTTTTTCTGATGGAACAAAATTTTTGACAAAGTACGATGTTTTTGGCCTTTTCACCCTGTTGCTAAAGAAAAGCTTTGCCGACAACTGGGACCTTTTTCCAGGCACACACACAAATGTCGAGGACAAAACTTAGTATTAAATAAGGGATCATTTTTCATAAAAGTTTATAACTATAACCAACTTTTTCCTCGTATATTTCCTCTGATCATCTTCTCTTATTTTCTTTCTTTGTTTTTTATTCCTTCCACTGCAATCTTTTCTTATTACCCTTCTCCTTCCACTTTTTGTCCTTCCTTCCCTCTCCTCCATCCGTCTTTCTTCTGCTTCTCTTCCCTTCTTTCTCATATTCCACCATATCCTCTACCTCAACCTTTTAATTCTCCTTTCTCCTTTCGTTCCCCTCCCTTTCATCTTCCTCATTGTCTCCTCTTGTCTCCCCTCTGTCCTCTACTCTTTCCATTCAATCCTCCTCTCCATACCCATCTATTCCTTCTTTTCTCCGTCCTCCCATCTTCCACTTCATTTTCCCTCTCCCACATTCTCCTCTTCCCCCCCCCCCCCCCCGTTCCCCGATAGGTGCAGTGATTGTCGCAGCAGACTACTCGCAGCTGGAGCTGAGGATCATCTGTCACCTGTCCGGCGATACCCGGTTGGCCTCTGTTCTCAACACCCGGGACGGGGACGTCTTCAAGATCATAGCCAGTCAGATGAAGAGCGTGAACGTAGATGAGGTCACTCCCGATCAACGGGCACAAGCCAAACAGGTAGCACAGCCTTGACAACAGCAGTATCATCTCTTTCATAATACAACTGCCCAAGTCATCTTTTTCAGGTCTTGACTTCGTCTACACATTTTGTCATGCTCTGAGCTCTTAGATGCATGTTGCCTGGCTCTGAGGACTTACAAGGCTGGGTGTTGTCTGCTTACATGTGATAAGAACTATCGTGACTTCTAGTAGTGGATCTAAATAGGCAGACCGCTACCAAAAGTCTTTATGTTGCTTGTCCACAGGTTTGCTATGGCTGTTGCATAACTATATTATCATTTCTTACTTATTAGTGTAACTTGATGTACCTGCAGTATTTTAAGTCTCCTAAGAACTCTTCTTCAAGCTATGCTCCTAATGCATGAGTTTGGTTGCTACGTGGGGAAGGAACAGTCAAAATTGTCCAAAATGGCCACCCAAGATCGAGAAGAAAAGTGGTTGTCTTAGACAGGTGGATGTCTTGGACAGTGTCATTATAATATGTCAAAAAAAGTATGCAAGGGTTGAAGTGGGAAGTGGTCGTTTGGACAGGTGATTGTCTTGGACAGGTGGTCATGAGAGCAGGTAGGACTGTATTCTTATAAAGTATTCAACAAGAACTCTGAATTTATGCTACTGATACACACTCTGCACACTGCCATCATTTTTAAAAGTACTGTATAAGCAATTTTTACAATTTCACAGGATAGCCAAAAAAAACCTGAATGTTGTTACCAAGAAAATAAACTCTTTGCTAACATCCCAAGTCAATGTTTTTAAGAATACAATTTGATAACTTCCTTATTATCTTTAAAGAAAATGTTGTTTTCTTGGTAACAACTTTCATTTTATTGGCTCTCATATGTAAAATTGTAAAATAATCTGCATAATTGTGTTTTTTAAAAAGGACAGTGCTACTAAAAGCCTTTCTGCCACATGCCCACAGGTCTGCTATGGCATGCTGTACGGCATCGGGCCCAAAGCTCTGGGTGAACAGCTTGGAGTGGATGTCAACGAGGCTTCTGTCTTTATGGAGACTTTCAAGGCCAGATATCCTGGTGGGAATTGTACAATTTTTGTGTGACACTGTTTTTAGTTCAGTTACCTTGTAAACCTTTACTTAAAATTCTTTTTTTTTTGGTGCTAATATTCTATCGAGTACATCTGAGATAGATATGATTACGTCTTTCACAATTCTGTGCATCCTTTTTTTTTGAGAATAAGACAAGGATGGATATTGAAAGCTTTTATTGTCTTAAAAGTGTATGGCAAACACTGATATTTATGAAGGAAATTTGTGTATTTTTCTAGAGTAAGGAGTGGATTTACATATGGGAATGTTCAATTTTCAGCTGTTTATGCCTTAAGTTTCACAATATTTTGCCGATAGAATTTATAAAATGTTTAATTTTCTTTGTTGAATTGTTACGCAGCCATGGTTTTTCAGGTTCTTTTATTTTATGTGATTAACTAGTTGAATTGTTACGCAGCCATGGTTTTTTAAGGTTCTTTCATTTTATGTGATGGACTAGTGTCATTTTATTGAGTAGTGAAGACCAACATATATACATTACATTTTAATTCTTCCTATTGTCATAATCAATGAAATAGTTTAGTGTTCACTCTACATTGTTATATTTTATATACTGGTACTTAATTTTATGTTTGGACATAGCTTTTGGTGCTTAACAAAAAGGTTATAGTATAGATATAAAACACATTTTTATTCAGGTGTGTTTTTCATAATGAAGTGAAAGGTCAGACTAAAAATCAATTCACAAAGCACAATGGGTAGGTAAAGTCAAACAACTCAATTTGATTATTCAAAGGAGGGTTTTGATACTATTTTTGCTTGAAGTCTACAGAATGCCTGTCACTGCTGTTCTATCATTACAAAATGTTTGCCCCTTTCTTGTGTGTGTGTGCTTATGATGTAAAAAAAATAATTTGATATCCAGGTGTGCGGCGATACCTGCGGGACACGGTAACATTTTGCCAGAAGAATGGCTTTGTGAAGACAATGTTCAATAGAAGGCGGTATCTGCCCTCCATCAAACACAGCAACCCTAACGTCAGGGCTCATGTGAGTCCTTTGACAACCCTTTGTCTTTTTATCAAAGTTGGATTTATAGCTTCTTTAAGACTTGTTCTGTTAAATGTATGTGTTGTTGAAGATGTCTGCATTCGTGTATGTGCAGTGCTTTTGTGGTTCTGTATGTAGAGTGTATGTTTGTGTACATGTTCCTATCTGATAACTCTGTATAGAGCTTTTGAATAATACATTTTTATTCCTATTTTATGATTTCTGAACGGAAATGAGATTATGAAAATAAATACTGCTTGCAGACAAACAAACACCTGTATTGAAGTGATTGTTTAATTTCAATTCAAGGTATTTTGAACTTCCATACACTGGGATAAAATCATGAAAATATATTGGTGAAGCTTTTATTAAGGCTACTATTTTGTGTGATTTTCTCAAATAATCCAGCATCAGGCATCCTGAACAGTCTTTTCAGACATTTTGTTTTGAATTTTTAATATTGTTTTATTGACTATGGAGATATATGTGTTATTGTTGTTGCCACTGTTGGAATTTGTGTTTGTTCTGATATATAGACAGATCCCTCTGTTATTTCTATTGCTGCAATATACGTTTGTTTCTATAGACATGTAGCTACCTTAGAATTACAAAGTTCTATCTGAAGTTTTTGGCAGTTTTGAAATACAGTGGAATCCTGTTATAACGAGACGTAGGGGACCGGTGCGAAATGTTCGTTATACCAGGAATCTCGTTATAAGGAATCCAGTAATAAATTCAATGGAAGTAATAAAGTAGGCCTAATCTATTAGTTTGGTGTTCTGTTTATTTCTTTTTGTTATCTACACTGACGATGACATTGTTCAACATGACCTCTAGGTCTTACTTGATCAAAAATTGAATCAGGTATCTTTCTCAAGCGCTAGCGATGTTGACAGCACGGCGTTGGCGATCAGAAAAAATGCGCTCTGGGCTAACTCGCCCGCTGTGTTGTCCACCACCCCACCACACCCGTGGTGTGTTTCGTCTGCTTGCCCACGTTACTACACATTCACTCCATCCATCACAGCATTGTGACCTCTCCATCCCCGCATCGGAGAAGTGAGGGCATGGGTAGTGGTAGGCGTAGATAATCTAGACTAGGCTGGCCTATCACACGATGCGTTCTGCTTGTCTGCGCTTACCACACCCCCCCCACTCGTTCACTCGGGCCATCATTGTTGGCAAACGTGGGCTCTCCTATTCTTTGTTTCGCTCAAGGAGTTGATGTAAGGTCCTAGGTTTCGCTAGATCACCAACAGGTTTCTCAACTGGCGAGGTTTATATGTATAACTGGCCTGTGCACTGTGCACAGCAGCAGCAATATTCCGCTATAACTGACTCCCATGTTTGTCCGATTGCGCTATAGCAGTATTTTATTTACAAAGATAAAGAAGGGAAAAAAACGGGATTTTAGAAAAGTGTCTTAATAACAGACTTCTCGTTGTTTCAGGACTCGTTATAAGTGGACTCCACTGTACTAAGACCCCAAGTTCAGAAACCAACCGTTTTATCTGCTCTTTCAAAATAATAAGATTATTCGAAATCATTATCAAGATATTCAAAGAATTGTTTTAGAAAAAGCTTGACATGTGCAACTGAAAGTTTCTGACATTGAACTTCTCAAAACTAAGTACGTGGGTGGTTGGCGGGTGCTCTGGTGTGATTTGTTTCTTCTTTCCTATCAAACATCTCTCGTCCTTATCTCCCCTCCTTCTATTTTGTGTTTGCTACTCTCTAGTAACACCTTTAATATTCGGCACTTATACGACCTTATTGTGTTGCAAGTGCCGTAAAACACTTACTAAAATAAAAAAAACGAAGTACTGAGCAGATAGAACTTTGTAATTCTAAAATAGGGATATTATGTGGTTATATATATGTAAAGATTACTCTGTTATTGCTTTTGTTTACTGGCCACTGATATCAATGTGTGCGGTCATCACCTACAGGCAGAGCGTCAAGCGGTCAACACGACAATCCAGGGCTCGGCTGCTGACCTTGTCAAGATTGCTATGACCAACATCGATAAGAGACTAATGGAACTGTTTCCTGCTTCGCGGGTTGCACATTCTCAGGCCACTTCTCATGGTGAGTGTGAGTGCATGTGCGGGTGAGTGTGAGTGCAGTTGTGTGTGTGTGTGTATGGGTGAATGTGTGAGTGTATTTGTGGATGAATGTATGAACGTATGTGTGGATGTATCCTTGATGAGTGTGTGAATGTATATTTGGGTGTATTGGTCAGTGAATTTGTCAGTGCATTTGTGGATGAATGTATAAATATGATGTGTGCGAGTTTATTTTTGGGTGAATGTGTAAGTGTATTTGTGCGTGAATGAGTCAGTGCATGTGAAGGTGTTTGTGTTAGTGCTTGTGTGATGTATATATACGTGGATGAATGTGTGAGTGCATTTGTGGGTGTATATGTGAGTAAAAGTGCTGGTGAATGTGTGAGTGCATTTGTGGGTCAATGTGTGAATGTCTGTGTGGGTGTAATTTAGGGTGACTAAGTGGATGTATGTTTGATTTAATATGTGAGCGTATCTTTGGATGGATGTATGTTTAGGTAAAAGTGTAAATGTATTTAGGGGTTACTTTTTGGATGAATGTGTCCATGCATGTGTTGGTGAATATTTATATGTGAGTGTGGTGTTTATTATATGTGTGTTTAAATGTACGTGTGTGTGTGTTTGTGCGTTTGTGTGTGTGTGCGCGTGCTTTTGGTAATGTTTGGTTTTTTTTTTAATTTTTAGATGTGTGCATGAATTTATGGGAGGGGGGAGGGAGTAGGGAGGATATCATTTGATGTGGTGTTCTGGTATTTTTTTTTTAAAGATGTAAACTAATGTTATTCATGTCATGTCCTGTCTCCAAATGTAAAGTATATCTTTTATGCTCTTGTCATATGTTTTGTTTATGATCTGTCTGGTCAGTGGGTGGTTGGCGGGTGCTCTGGTTTGGTTTGCTCCTTCTTTCCTATCAAACTTCTATCGCCCTTATCTCCCATTCTTCTTTTTTATGTTTGTTACTGGCTTGTAACTCCTCTAATCTTCTAGCGCTCATATGACCTTATGCAGTTGCGAGCGCCGTAAAACCTCTACTAAAACTGTCTGGTCAGGTGTTCCTGTGAGGACCGAGGCTCTGAAAGGCGGTGGGGCATATCTGGTTCTTCAGCTGCACGATGAGCTCATCTATGAAGTGACCACTGGTCATCTGATGACAGTGGCCGGACTCATAAAGCACCAGATGGAGAAAGCCATCACACTCAATGTCCAGCTCCCAGTCAAAGTCCGAGCGGGACCGAGCTGGGCAGAGGTGCAAGATCTGGATATTGTCTAGTCGTCAGTTTTTGTCTGACTGTCTTTAAAGAAGTGAATGTCTTTCAGGGTTGCTAGGTAGACCGTACATTGGACAACATTAGACAGTGCATCTTTATTCCCCCCTCATCAAAAATCTAAGAAAGTACTTGAAATTAAGATGGTTTCTCACTATTGTACAGTTATACAAACTGAATATTTTGTGAATTATTTATATTACATTTATGTCGTAACATGGTGGAGTCAGGTGCTCGTCAGTTTTTAGGAGCTATTTGTAACATCTTAAGGCTTGTTCCTTTGCTTTGCTTTTATTTTTAATGAATAAAATACCCATCTATCTTGAATAGAAGTTGAGATATCTACAATTGAAGGAGGTGGGTAGCCTGGTTTCAGAGGTTAAGTTAGCGAGAAAATGGCCTGCAAAGTTTTGAATACTTCCAAAGCTCGAATATCCTTGGAAACAGCAAATTTATATTTTCTGCACCTTTGATCAACACATTTCAGTATTATCCACCCAGAATTGGTTTTTAAATGAACATATATATATATGGTAGTGAGCAAAAAAAAAAAGAAAAGAAAAGAAAAACATATCAGGACGAGTTGAAAATTGTGTTTTTAAAATTTAATTCCTTTGACGAGTGCCCGATTTCACTGCGCTGCCACACTTATGCTGTGTCTTTCAGGAAAAGGATGGCTGAAATTGATGCGTGGAATTTAGTTATTTGGTTCGAGGTATTTAAAACTTCTACGTGTGTCAGTGTGTAAGAGCCAAACTTTTCATGTTTATGTATCAATTTACACATGTTTCTTTACATCTTAAATTCTTTGAATGGAAAGGGTTTTTTTTCTCTCCTAATTTCTATTTTAAAAAAACTGAAAGAATCATATTTTACTTCAATTGATTGACTTTGTTAAGAGGATCATGCAATTTTGTACAATTTAAGGCTAAGTATGAATATTTCCTTATTACTGTTTTAAAGGGTTATTACCTCAACGAAGTAGATAGTTGTCAGTACTGATTACATGAATCACAATGTGGTACCGAGTGATCCCTGACGTAAATGGATTGGGGGTTCACTACCATTGTTTACATCGTTGGTATCTTATTTTAAGATAGTTTTTGAGGCTTTCTCCCTCAGAAAAATAGTAAGTTAGCAGTAGAAATGATATTTACATTTGTTTTACTTCAACTTCATGTTTTTTTTAATCCTTGGGATGCCAATAGTTATTGTAAGAAGTATTTTGTATTTAATGATTTATGTTTGTGAGAATGGCCCTTGTGTGTGTTTTTGTGTGTGTTTGTGTGTGTGTGAGTGTGTGTGTTTGTGTGTGTGTGTGTGTGTGTGTGTTTGTAAGCCTTTTGCGTGTGTGCGGGTGCATATGTGTTAAGTTTTCTCAACAGTTTCTTAGATGAAAAAAGTTTTATGCCGAATTGTACAGTGCATATTTTTCATTGCAGTATCTACCCGGTACCATATATCTTGCCATGCTGTTGAAAAAATGTCTGATAATCCTGCTGAAAATAATACCCATTTGTATTGAAGATTGATTGTTGATAAACATTGCTAATGTACAGTTTGAAAGGATCTCACATACAATGCGAACTCAGCTTAAACTGTTCTTTATATGCATAGGTTTGGATATTGAAATTCGTATTTCTGTGCAAACATGTCTTGATTCCATTTATCTTTTTTTAGTATCACAGCTTAAGCTAGTAAAAGTATCATATATACTATAGTTGCTGAATGTGTGTTTCTGGTGTAAATATGGAACAGGAAGTTTATAGCCTACTTGTTTATAAAAATTTATGTATAAATTACTTTTTATTATTTCCTGAATTTTTGTGGATTTTTGCATGAATTATGAGTTTTATGAATATAAATATCTGTATTGAGTAAATGTGAAAGTTTTCTTATCAGACTAGGAAGAAGGAGGATATTAGATTTCATGCCACCAGCTAAAACTAACATTTTCAAATGCAGTTTCTTTTTCTGAATTAATGAATTGGCTTTGTGTGTCTAGAAGCACACAATTTCAGAGAAGTTTGAGGTTCTTTGTCTTTAGTTTTTACAGATCTCTTAGACCTCTTTCTTTTTCGGGTTAGTCTTGACTGGGACCAGTTCGCAGTTCATCATCCTGGTGTCACTGTGATAACAGAATGTAGCAGTAACTAGAGAGTTGTATTTTGATCGGCCCGGGTAAAGGGTAAAAGATCAAGGGGAAGACCACGTGGAACCTGGAGAAGAGTCACAGAAATCGATAGACAGAAAAGTGGGAAGACGTGGAATAATGTCAAGAGGCTGGCCTAGGGTAGGGAAAGGTGGAAAGTGTTTGTTCGTTGCCTACACCCTGAGAAAGGCAATGATGACGATAATTCCAATCAGCAAGCTCTATTTTGTGGTGCAGACGCCAGTTGTGTAAAGGTTAGGCTCTTTGCCAGTGCAGTGCAGAAAACGTGGAGTTCAGTTCCTCAGTGGAGAAATGTTTTGTACCAAGTATCTACATCTCTTTGCTGGGATGTTCTGTCCCACTCAGCTGAGACTGATCTTGTCAGGCTGGGTTAAAATTAAAACAGCCCATCTTTTGTATGTTTGTCACACTCTTGTTACCCACTATTTTCGGGGTGCCTTGATAGTCGAAGCAGACTTTGTGCTGTTGAAGCTAGAGAGGTGAGCAGAGTAAGTCTGATTCCCTATATGGACTTCTCTGTTGACATCCAGCCCTTGGTGCCGTAAAACCTCTACTAAAACTAAAAACTAAAAGCAGCCCACCTCCCAAATCATTTTTCTTATGTCAATAGAGGCGTAACACACTTACAATCACATTTGCTTGACTGGGACATGTTGATCATCCTGGTCTCAAGTTGGTTATTGAATACGGACATAATGCTGCCATCATTTTTACAAGTGTAGTCTAATATACAGTTTTTTACAATTTTACAGGAGTGTCAAAATGCTGAATGTTGTTATCGAGAAAACATTTGCTTTAAAGATAATAAGGAAGTTATTATCAAAATTTTACTCTTAAAAATATTGGCTTGGGATGTTTACAGAGAGTTTGTTCTCTTGGTAAAAACTGAACGTTCAGTTTTTTGTCTCTCCTGTAAAGTTGTGAAAACTGCATATACTCATAATGTAGAGAAGATTCGGATAACTTCACCACCTGGTCTCCCTGTTATACTTTACAATGGAATAACCCATCTGCCCTATTTTCAGACAATTTTAAGTGTCACTAAATTCGAAAGCAGACAAAACGTCTTACTGAAATTACCAATCAATAAGGAGCTATGAAGTAGACAAGCGCTCCAAAAATTTGACTAAATGAGTGCTTGTAACCCCGTGACGCTTCCTTCTGCCTCCCACTATCTTGCTTTGGGCTAACCTTCCGCTTTTTTCTCCTTTGTTGTGATGACTGTCATTGTGTGCCATTGCCATAAATTGCAACTTTTTTTTCACCATTTCTAGTGTTTCTTTTAATTGACTAAAGAAACAATTTTGTATTAAATAATTGGAGTTTGTACAGAAATTAGGTTTATTCATCTGTATAATATTTTCTGGTAAATTTGCCCCCTGTCGCACCACTTCACCACCTGTAATCTTTTTCATAGCGCCGCACTTTGAAAGCTTGAGGAGTGCCGAAAACATAAAAAAATATTTATAACAATAAATATTCTAGGGAGTGTTAAGAAAAGGCAATCGAAGCTGTTAAGAATGGTCATAGTTGTACTGGTGCTGCCAGAGAGTTCAATGTGCCCAGAAAGACGTTAGCTGACCCCATCTCTGGGCGGTCTAGATTAGACAGGAGGGTGAGGAGGGAACGCAGTATCCCCGAAGATATAGAAACTTCCATAGTTGAATGGGCAATTAGAGCTTCCAAAGTAGGGTTCCCACTGACTAAACCACATATTTTATTGAAAGTGGGGAGGGTTGTTGAGAGACTGGGCCTGAAAACCCAGTTTAAACAAGGTCAACCTGGTAAGGATTACTGGTACGAACTAATTAAAAGGCGTCCTGACCTAACCCCTGAGGATCCCGCAGAACTGTGCCTCTACCCACGCTCACAATGACTACACACACACCCAGTCATCTTTCTTCATCTCTCTCTCTCTCTCTCTCTCTCTCTCTCTCTCTCTCTCTCTCTCTCTCTCTCT